GAATGAACTGATAAAAGATTACCGGATACGCATGCCTGACGAGCGGCAAGGACTGCGAAACCGGTCGTGTGCTTCCAGGGAATTTTTTTCCCAGTCATTCATATACTACTTATTATGAAATATATATATATATATATATATCTATATATATATTATATATATACATTAAAAACCTAACTCCTATTCAGCCCACTTACAGCAGAATTTCCTAAGATGGATCGTGTTGGATCGAGTATAAATACGTTTGATAAGTGAACAATCCACTTGAGTTCTACTCGTAGAGTTCGGGTTCAAACTTCGATGGGAATGATCATTGCACATCACTGATATGCCTCAAGATGATAAAAATAGCCTCATAGCATTTCTGTGAGCAATGATTTCGGGTTTTATGCTGCGTTTCAATCGGGAACGTCGTTTAAAAGTAATCGGATTAAGATGAATATAGCCATGTGAGTGCATTCCCATCCTTCGATTGTTTCCATCGTCCACTTACACTCCCAACCTTCTAAAACTAATTGGGATTCGGCTTTCGTGCGTTGACAGACTGACATTTGCATTGCATCAACATTCAAGGTCCGAAATATTAGCCACTAGTGGGGAAGTCGACTGTGGATCAGTCTGCATTCATCCAGAGATAATTTATTTCCTGAGTAACCTCCATTTGAGAAGGAGAACCGATATCACCTGGAAGTATTTACTTAGTTGAAGCTGGAGTTGCGAGGTTTAGTGTCGGTGGCAACCATTTAAACTGAGCCTTAAAATGTTCTGCCCATCGCTGAAGACCGCATTGTTGAATATGGATCTATGTGCCACCGGACTCCTTAATTACATCCCTTACACCTCACTTCCGCGAGCCCGTACTCCTAATCAAACCTAAACAACTGTTACTGCCACTCAAAGGCACAACCTGCCTAATCTGTCTACATTTTGCTCCCTACAATCTATCTTGGTCATCCCTCAAACTCTATGTGATGGCTTGTAGGGGATTTGCACTGTGTGGTATTTGGGATATGGAGGAAAGGTTCTACGAGCGTCCAGCTGAGTAGCTGAGGTCGAGGAGATTCATCGTTTGTGCTTTGATCAATATTTGGATGACCCCCACATAAGAGTGCTTGGCTAATAATTGGAAAAACTGAACCGAACTGAATCTTTATTTCTGTGGTCAGACGAAAATTCGATGTACACTACACCTTGTCCCATCAAGCTTTAGCCAAAACGCCCAGTCCTTTAGCCTCGATTCGCAATCCCTTAGCCAAAACCCGAGATGCGTCAACCAAAACCCACAACCCTTAAGCCTTCACCCACATCCCGTTAGGAAAAACCCGCAATGCATTAGCCACGATCCACAGTCCTTTAACATCGACGCACAAACTTTAGTCACGCCACAGTAGGTGAGTCAGATCAAAAAGTATCGGAATATTCTGGAGTCAACGGATGTTGAAAAAACATTATTGAGCCTCAACCGTCGTAAGTATGTCGAATGTTGCAGCGTTAATAAACTAATGGTGGTTATGGGGTGTGCCTTTGTAAACAGTTTCTATTATCATCAGCATGTTTATGCATCCACTTCTTATGAACAGAGTTCACTCGTGAATGCAAAACAATGTACCGTTTGTGCTGCACCTGCGATTCTTACTCACAAGAGTATCGCATGTCATACGGAAACACTGAAGCTGTACGAGATGTGTCAAACGGTTTGACGATACGGATACATCGGTTAAACCTTCTTCAGTCAACATGTGTTGCAGCGTGCGACCCCCACATCTTGGCATAGCGGCATCTGTTCTACAAATTGTATTTCCCGAAGCATTCTTTGTATGGCCGTGGCCTCCTGAAAGTTTATTGTACAACTCTATTATCAACAACTCTATTATCTATTAACAAAAAGGAGGTACAAGCGAAAAATAAATAATCCAAAGCCATGTAGTCGTTGACTGCACTAAAGAGTACCACCCAAGCTGGCTGGGTGGAAGTGTAACTGGGGTCAGCACAAGGACGATTACCAATCGCCGGATCTGACCACAAGCAGTGTGCGCGAGACCCTCCATTCTCACCACACTATTAACTGACGGTTCACTAAAGAGGTTAGGTTTCGAATTTGATCGATGTCCGAGGAAGTTCTAATCCGCCTCCGTAACTTCCCCTTATCTCTGTAGTCACAGGTTGCAAGAGCTTCGGATTTTCCGTGACATAATTGTCTGTCAATGCTACTTCAATCGTCAATTCACACAGACTTAGACAGGAACTCGATACGGTCAAATTTCTAACGGCTGATTTTTTATCTCCTAGCTAATGTTTGACTACGTTTTAAGTCTGCGATGTTTAACCAATTGATGAAGCGCAGACTTGCTGCTTGCATTCCACTCCTAAGGGTTGGTAGGTTGTGGTATCCAAACAACTTACTTTCGCATGGCCTCATCAAAGCATAATTCGACATTCTGTCGCTGTGTTCGTTCTTTCAAACGGGTCTCGGCCAGCTTCAGTGGTCGCAACTTGTCACTGATCGATTCAAGTAGCAGTTGAATCAATTTTTCCACATCAAATGTCTCTTGTTTAACCTGGAAATAGTTGATATTTTGAAAATGAAGTGAGTTTATTTTCCGTTTTTGAAACAAGACACTACACAGAAAATAAATAATGTTGGAAAATGTTTCTTTGGCAGAAGTTTGGTGCGCCGAATGAAGTATGATCCTACAAACATCGGAATGGAAATATTTCCTGTTGCTGTTGAAGAAAATCCTTTTGAAGCGAAATCTTTACTGGAGAAGGGAACGGAATGTCAGAACCTCATCACCGCACATGACATGGTACTGTATTAGCCACAACAGAATGCTGTCGCATAGAAGAATTTGCGTCTTCTATTTAAAGAATACCTTGATGAACCGGTTAAAACAAACATAATTGACTTTTTTCTTTAGTGCCTACCTCGTTCTTTAGTTATCGATCAAATGTGTGAAGATAGCGTCCAAAACTGTCTCATTGAAGCTTAATGCTGTTCTTGTTGCACACCCTCAAGAACTGATTTAATTCTTTTGAAATGGCCAAAAACCACTATATTTATCCTGGGATTTAAAATTATTCTTGATGTAAACAGCACAGAAAAATTGTTTATTCCAGTTGGGACTCTAATCCAAAATTCCTAATTTTTTTCATGTCCTCACATCCCACAGTTTTGCTCACGGGTAGCCTTTCGCAAACGAATGAATTACTTAAGTTTTAAGGCCCAAAGCTCTCGCTCCTGAGTCTACAGGACCCTTCGCTTCAAAAATGTGTAGTCTGATAAACACTCGTTTCTTAAATTTTTTCACAGACGTTCATCTCTTCTGATTTTTGGCTCATTGTAGCTTTACAAAGACAATAACTTCGTTGATATTTAGAGTATTCCGCACGAGACTGAACGTATATTCTTCAGATTTTATGCAAGGAAATTCGGTGAATTTCCACAAAGGTGTACGATCTACGCTGTCATTTTATAAGGATGCAAATGAAAACATTGTTTCATTTTTCAGGCCTAATTTAGGTGTAGTTGAGTCAACTCCATATCCAAATGTCCTTTCTCAAATACATGCATAATTAGCTGATGAATGCTGCCACTGCACCTGCTTCATTCTCTACACTAACTTGAAGGGTTCAATAAAAAGAACCTTGATGAAGGCTCGATGATAGGACTGTAACAGTAATGATTTAACTCAGCAATTTGAGCGCAAGATATCTTGCATTCATGCCAGGCTTTCCACAACGTCGCACATTGGGTTAGCTGTCTCAACGTTTAGCCGGTTGCCGGATCCTTCTCCTTCCACTTGATAACGGGTTTTTCACAGTTTTCGGTAGAAATTGTTTCCTTGTGTGTGATGACTGGTCAATTACTAAAAATTGTTACTCGATTGTCATGACCCACACAGTATCGATAACTTAAGACCATAATGGAAATTCCTGTTCGAGTATTACTGATTGAGAATAGTAATTCCACCAGCAACTACAAGGATGTCGGCTAAACTTGTCCCCTTTGGCTGCGATAGAACTCTCGCCAATTGACTATCGATCTAATCATACCCAGTCATTTGAAATTGCTACCTAGTGGGTAGGTGCTAGTGATGAGAGCGAAACTTGAATCTGATGCTTTTGAACATTATGTCGACTGGAAGAACAGGGTTGTGCATAAAGATGGAGTTTGAAGAATGGTCAGTTCAAAAAATAAAACATTGGCTTAGAAAAGATCGGTGGCGATTTAACGCCTCGTGACTGTACCGCCCATTAGATACGTGACAGCTTTAGATGATAATTCGAAGCTCTGGACCAATCACATTCCACTGGGTTGAAACCGGAGTCAAGTCTCCCAGAAGAACATCAACTACGACTCCCCAATAGTGCTTCCGGCAGTGTATATTATTAGATCACATTGGTTTCTGTTAACAAATCAACCACTATTTTATGGCTTTTTGCGTTACAATTGTTACAATTAGTTCACCTGCATCTTGACTCGTAGCCTCCTATCCTGTACCAATTTCGTTTTGCGAATCCGAATTCGTTAGGTCACTCACATTCTAAGCTGGGACCATTTAAAGGGCAAACTTTTTAGCAACTTAATTGCTCCCCCTTTATGTAACTGATCATATACATTAAGTTGTCATCCCATGGTTAGGATGCACTGAAAACGAGATTGTTTGCCACTTTGTGTTGTGATAATGCGTTATGTGGAACCGCTTAAGCGTGAGAGCTCGCGTTACCATCCGCACAATTTTTCGTAAATAAAGGCCGATTACTCATCAGTAGTATAAATTCAGTCCTCACTACAGAAAAACACAAATAAAAAAGAGCGTATATTAAAGCGAACTGAAGACTAACATGAATATAATTGTGCGATGTGTTGTAAATAAGCGTTAATACTATTAGTAAACGTTTGGATTGAAAAAACAAACCACGCTCTATACTGTATTTCATCCATGACATACATGACATCTCCAACTGATCCAGTCACGTTTTCAAGCGTTTTTTGTACGACCCCAAAAGGATTCCACATTAATAGTAAGCACACCGGTTACAGGGTACGCATATCGCGACAGTAAGTGCACCATTGAATAGCGCTTTTGTGCGATACATTCGCCATCGCAGCAGCACGTGTAACCAGCTCTTCCATGACGAAATAAAAACTTAATTCCATCAAAGTTGGTGAGGGAAGCCTCAATTTTGCAAAAGCAGTTCCAGAACGAATCGAAAATCTGTTTTCACAAGCTGTACACCGGAGAACAAATTCATCCTGGCTACGGGAGAACTCCTGCGTGTTCGTCACGCGTTCACATGCACATGTACATCTTTTTGGTAATAAATCCCTGTCTTGCGCATATTCTACATAAGCCTGTCTTTGAATTTCATGCAGCGTTAGGTACATGTTGGAGCCGTCCGACATGTTTTAAGGTCGCAAATTGAAGCTAAACAGGCAAAGTCAAGTAAAAGCCAAAGTTTTATTATGGGAATAGCTTACAAGCTGGTGCTTCTCTTGTCCCA